GGGGGGGGGGGGGAAGAGAGGGAGAAAGTCTTTCTTGTACGATGTGAGGGTCTTAGGACAGAGGGTGTCATATTCTGTACAAACTGTAAAGCCCAAATGTACAATTTGTGATATTGGGCTGTATAAATAACATTTGATTTGACTGAAATTGATTTGTGTCTTTTGATCTAGGGAAATATCTCTCTCAAATCATACATTTGAAAAATAATGTTGGATCTTTCTGTAGAAAATGTTCCGTTTTGAGATTTGGATCCCATAAAACTCAGGCCAAGTGTTTCAAATGGATCTCTTGATGTCTCTTGATATCAACATATGCAGCTGAAAATAGCATGAAATATCTAACTTGGTCTTACATTTGCTGATTTTTACACACATGTTTATTTACCGTTCACTTGGTGAATCTTGAGCAACATTTCTCTCCTTTTTTTTCTCCAGGAACTAGAAGATGGTTTGGATGAAGCTTTTTCCAAGTAAGATATTTGTCTCAGTAGTTGTATTATTAAGTGAAATCAATCCTAGTGAATTCTTTATGCTGCTTAGAATATAATTACCAATCCCCAACTCTGTCTAGTTTAATCCTTCAGTGTACTTTAGGTCCCTCTATTACTGCTTAGCGTTACAGCGCCACTTAGTGCTGATTCTTGTGTACTGCAGAAAACAAATTCTCCTGACTATTAAATGAGAAATCATTTTGTAGCTTAATTTCAAACTGTCCTCAATCTATTGTGTGTTTGTGTCTCCAGCCGTGCTCTGGATAGCTATGGTTCATGTCCAGGTAAAGTTGAGCTGTTACAAGCCTTACCTAGTGAAGTAGTGCTAATTACTAACCTACCTGTAACCCATTTCATTCAATCACACACAAACCAAATATCCTAGTAATGTTAGCAATAGCTTCCTGTGTCATTTGTTTCCTTTGTGATAAAATATTAGCTTAGTTTGAATATAAAGTCATTTCCTTGTCCCTTTCCATCTCATTTCACCAACAATTGCGCTTCTATCCTGACAACCATCTTAAAAGTCTGTTTGTGTTTCTGAAATGTTACTCCACTAAAAACACAAGGTATTGTATGCTGTTTTGTGAAAGTATGGCAGTATCAAACATTTCATCCCACGATTCGAGGACTGAACTGAACGTCTTGGAGTAATCCTGTTGACCTCCAGAAAGATTTAGCATATATTATTATCCCAGAACAGATAGACGGTGTGCAGCCAAACCTAGGTATCTTAATTAAGAGAAATCTAGGCTTTAGTGGCACAATATGTCTTGGAAGCTGCTCTGGAGGAAGTATTCGAATCACAACTTGGTCCAAGCTTTAAGCGGAGGAACAGCAGCTATTGTAGCTTAGTGAGATCAGGGCTGAAGTAAAAATAAAAAGTGGTAACTAAATTCAATCATACCAACACATGCTGTTATTTGGAAAGCTTATTAACGAGCTTAAGTTATTTCATTTATTTGTATTTAGACTTTAACAGAGATGAAACCATGTCGTTGTTTTGCAAGTCACACATAAGTCAAGTGTTTGCACATCCTAAGCTATGAAAGCCAAGTCATAATGCAATTCCTTGTGCCCATTTTTTATAGCATTAACAATAAAAAAAATCTATGGAAATAAATTGTTATGTGGCACAAAGTCATCGGTGTAAAAGTCCAGGTCAAGTCGCAAGTCTTGTTTGATATTGTGAAGTCTAATGTCCTCAAATATATGTAAACAAAGCCAATTAAAGACCAAACTATGAGATTCGAAACCTTCAAAAGTCTGAAATATGTAAAAGTGCATATATGCTAAAATGACGATATAAAACAAGCAAAATGCAAATATGTTGAAGATAAACACCAGCGTTATCTTAACAGCTTAAAGGTCCCAATTATTCTCTGTTTCATCAATATATAATAGGTCTCAGATATATGCAGAGCCTGTCTCTGATTGGCTGAACAGATCATTGCAGCATCCCATAATCCCCTCTGTTTCAGCCCTGTTTCCAAAGTGCTGATTCTCTGTCTGTTACTTTAGATGAAAATAAGGAGCCCCTCCCCACGCCCCTCTGAGAGATATTCGGTTAGAAAGAACTCAATGGTGCTCTAGGAGGAGATTCAGGTGATAAGGGGGGGTTACCTTGGTTGGTGATTGGCTAATGGTTAAACAAGCCAAAAAATCGTTTTGACATCATAAAGTGACCAAAATCTGATCAGCTCATTTTCAGACAGGTTTTTATAGAAATGGATCAGGACAAAAAGAGAGAGAATCTTTGTTCCTGAAACTTTCAGAGTCTCTTTCCACAGACGGGACACATGTTGATGTAGAAGAGACATGAAGAAGAGGGGAAACATGTTGATGTAGAAGAGACATGAAGAAGAGGGACTTCTTCTTCCCTGTGTACAACTACATCTCTCTGTGTACTTCTTCCCACCTTTGTACAGACTACATCTTCTCTTACTTCTTCTCCCCTGTGTACAACTACATCAATTCTCTGTACTTCTACTCACCCCAGTGTACAACTACAACTCCTTCATCTGTACTTCTTTCCCCAAAAACGTAATATCCACGAAATTGTAACTACCTTGTTTCCAGGGCATAAGTAAGAACATAACCCCAAACACAAGGAGGAGTCTGACCGTCATCAGACGCATGGATTGGGGGTCCAGGACCTGTAACCCCAGTCAGTTGAAGGGACTAAACGAGCCACTTGGCTGACCTGTCTTGTTTGCTTTTGAATAGGGTTGTTTGGCAATAGTCGGGCAAGCCCTGACTATAGGAAGTCGAAGACTGTAGTTGTGTGGTACTACTGCTTTCTCTCTTCTCTACTCTACTGTATGGCTCCCCTCCTCCTTTTCCAGAAATGCCTAGAAGGTACTCTATGATTGTTCCGTAGTGATGCACATAAAATTCTTATTCGGTGTCCGTTCAGGTTACTCCCTTAATTCACAGCTCTAATTCTCAAACCGAGAGATTCAGTAAGTTTACCTTTACCAAGGGAAGAAGGCACCGTGGTTTCGTTATTATAAGTAAGAGCAGACGTGTAGGTTTGTAGGTATGTTAAACAAGTAGTGGCTTAGTGTCAGTACAGGAAAAAAACCAACGAAATAAACCGTAATATTGAGTATGCAAACACCAATCATTAAATATCTAAACAGTTAATAAAAAGATATACTTCTCATCTAAATTGAATCAAATACATTGTCTTAAGCGCATAGTTGTCCGAATTATAATGTACGTAATGCATGTAGCCCGCGTAGGACGTTCCACTTATGTCCGCATTTTCTTTTTCAAAAACTTACGCATGTAATTGTCCAAATACTATAGTGACGGCGGTTCCTGTGCTCACCTAGACTGAAATTAATGTAAACTGAGCTCACAAAGCAGTTGAATTACACAACGAATTTTATTTTGGAAGACGTATGTTCATGGATACACTGTGACACTCACAACGTGCCGGTCTATCGCCGAGTCGACTGAGCATTTCCTTTATACTATGTAATACTATACTATAGCGGCGCTGACATGAATTACAATGAGACTAGGCCAATGAATACACACCGTCTATAAATTCATCGAAAGAATTTTGCGATTCCAATATTTATACAGTCTAACGAGACTTCTACCCTTCCCACATAAGATAATTACAAGTGCAAGTGTGTCAGCCACCTAAATAAACGGCCGGCGAAAGGACGTTTGCCGTGCGAAAGACATTAAAGGAAAGACGGACATCTATCACTCGAACTTAGCCGAAATTTTGTATTGAGGCGTGTGACCTCGAGACTAACCAGCGTCCGCCACGAAATCGACTCAACCAAAAGCTACGGTCGCAAGGTTCAGATGTTGGATGAACTTTGACCCGCCACAGACTTCGAACCGCTAAAAAACGCTGTTGCGCTGGGTTGTTGGTTCCGCTGTACTTAGAGGGGGGCTTGTTAGTTTCGTTATCGTTACAAGCATTTTGCTTGCATTTCACCTATATTTGAAGTTTGTCCGCTTTTGATGGTCAGGTGACAGAGACGGTGGAGGGACGGGTACGGACCAACGGAGGCAAACATAGGGCCATTTATCAAGGACCAGCATTTCTTGGCCCACTGAACACGATCTCGGCCCATTATAGGCAAACGTTATACTCCTTTACCTTGATCGCAACCGAGAGGGTCGAACGTGCGCCAAACTAACCGAACGTGAGACGGTGACCGCCCTAAACGTATTTGCCCTAAACTAACCGACCTACGGTCGTAGCTCGGACAAGCTTGAAAACTACGGCTATCTACGAGCACTACTCAACGTTTCGGTTCGGTACGAGGGGAGAAAAAGCTACGGATGACGTTGGGACGAGGCCCCGTCCAAATCGGCGAGTCGTATTTAAATGGTACCTCTATATCGGGACGTTTTTCTCTTGGTCGCAAGCATCCTGGCCTTTGGGGCTCAACAAAGGACTTCAATCGGCCCGCTCTCGCTTTAGGACGAAGCATCATCATGGCGGTGGTCCACCCAGATATTAAGAACGTCATTCCTTCTGGGTGAGGGTATGTAAGTTACACTGCGTTGTTGTTATACCAAGGCATAAGATTTATCGACGTCCACACGTTACATAACGATTTTTCTAATGTTATTAATATTTGGTTCTTTTCTCAAGTTAAATAATAAGTACTTATATATATAAAATAAAGACATATTGAGACCATCTAATTTTGCGTGTACTTTCCGTTGTTTCTCTTAGACTAGTTGGAACTTGTTGTTACGACAATGTGACGTCCACTTTGTCTTTGGCGGACCTTTGTACAACTCTGGCTCAAGTCATTATCGTTGTTCGATAATAAACCATGTAAAATCATTCTGGCGTTTAGGAGTGTAGCATTGATTTAGGTGACAATAGCTTTCTTCACACCCGACTAACAGGACGACAAAATTTCCCGGACAACTGATGCTTAGACATGTATTTGACTTCAATTTAGTAGTGGAGAGTAGGTATTTTTTATTAATGTTTAGATATTTAATATTGATTTTGCATACTAATATTGGACGGTTTTTCGTTGGTTTTTCCTGACTGCACTAACCAACTACTATTGTTAACCATACCTACAAACGCACCACGTCTCTCTTACTATAATCAACGAAACCCACGGTGCCTCTTCCCTTGTTAACGAGGACACCTCCTGCTCCTCCGGTTGAGGAATAGAGCTGTGAATAAGGGAGTACTGAAGACACCCGAATAGAATTTATGTGTCACTACGGAACAATCAAAAAGTCCTTCCTGCATTTCTGGGGAGGAGGGGAGCCAACGAGGTAGAGAGAGAAACAGAGAGAAAGAGCGACCACGACAACACCAGTCTTGGCTTCCATAGCAGGGGCTTGCCCGACTCCAAAACCCTTTCAAAGGCAAGACAAGACAGGGTCACCCAAGGTGGCTGTTTAGGGTCCCTTCAGTGGGGTTAAGGTCTGGACCCCAATCATTGGCGCTGTAGACGGTCAGGACTCCTCCTTGTGTGTAGCCTTACTTTGCTGAAAAACAAGGTGAAAGCAATTGTTCCAGTTGGATAATACGTTTTGGGAGAGAAGTACAGAGAAATGTAGTGTACAACAGGTGAAAGAAGTACAAGAGAAGATGTAGTTGTAACACAGAGAAAGAAGGTACAGAGAAGATGTAGTGTGTACAAAAGGGGGAGAAGAAGTACAGGAAGATGTA